GGTGCTGCTGTTCCTCATTTTTAATAATTAGATATCCTCTAAATTCGCAGAGGCTCGAAACGTAATAGAGCAACTGTAAAATTACAAATTTGCTCATTTCAAACTTCTAATAAATCTTTGGGATGATTTAGATAAGACCCAAGATTTTTATGGTCCAGAATGGATGATGCTAAGGTATCTTTTAATCAAACTAATCATAGACCTATTTAGTCTTCAAACAGGTACCATGCATCCCATGGGAGAAGAATCCATGCCCCTTCAGGAACGACTCAATTCATCACTATTCTCCACTGTGCCTTAAACAAATTGTTTGAAATACTACACGGGGTATGGGAAGAAAGTGACAATAAGATTTTTATAATACTGCAGTTTTGAGGAGTGAGACCTGTCACATAGGAATCTATAACATCATACATTGTTATTTTAATTCAGGATAACTTCAGCCGTTGAATTGATTCACCCTTTCTAATTCTACTGAATCACTTGCATTATGACATATGTAAAAAGTATACTGTACATCGACATTCTTTAAGGCATTCTTTACCAGGGATCCTCCAGATATTATAATACCTCAGACCCCAAAATTTATAGACATTGTGACCAATTTCAAAATGTATGGAATAGGATACATTCTCCAAATTGGAGAAAGCTTTAGATTGAGAGGTTTTTCTTTTTTATCGCTAGCAGTGTGATATTTTCTCTGTTTTACAATATATGCATACTTACTTAGAAATATATCTCCCACTTTCACTGTGATTATTTTCTCAAAGACCATAATATTTTATAACTCAAAGAAGTTTATTTCCTGGAAAACATTATTAAGATCGTACATCTGGCTTTGCACAAATGGATGTCATCTCATGAAACAAATTTATCTTTCATCAGGACCGATTTAGATCTGAGCTACAAAAAGTTAGGTAACGATTAAGTGGCAGTATAAGAACCAGTTTAACATAGTAGTTAAGGCACTAGGCTACTGGGAACCCACAAATTCTAGCCCTGCCCTAGCCAGCTGGGTGACTTTGGGCTAGTCACACTCTCCCAGTCCTAAAAAAAAAAAGGCAATGGCAGACTATTTCTGAAAGTCTTCCCAAGAAAACTGCAGGGAATTGTTCAGTTAGTTGCCAGGTTGACTGAAGCCTCCAACCGCCAAAATATGACAGCAGCATGTTGGAGATATCTGAATCACTCTGCTGTTATACAGTGGCCATGTGGATTCCTGAGTTCTGGATCTTAGTTTTCTTTTTGAAGCATCCCTAAAATCTGTCTTGGAAGATAGAATGCATTTCTAGAATAGATTGAAGGGCCACTGCTTGCATGCACAATCCTGAGGGATTTCATTAAACTTTGCAACACAATGCATTGTAATATAGGTATTTAATTATCAATGACAATGCAGACACATAGCTGGCATTAGTTCCCCTGGTTCCATTCTTCTATAAGGAAATCCACTTGAAGTCCTGTGGCATAACACTACATACTCAGGTCTAAAGGACTATATTATAAAGTGTTCCCTCTGCTGAATCTTCTGCAGTAGGATTCAATAGCAAGAAGTATATTCAAAGCTCTGCCTAAAGCAAACTCTTCATGTTGTGCTTTCAGCTAATCACTTTCATCACAGTCGTTTTTCCAATAAGCACAGGAAAGCAGATATTGGATGGTATCTAAATATATCCAGAATGATTCATTCTATGAGGAAATCAACAAGAATATTTTTCCTTCTCCAAAGTATTTGCATAGCAGCACAAGAAAGTTATGGTAATCTGTTCAAGTGCACGGTCTCACATTGTTCCAAACATCAAACTAGACATAGTATCCAGTAAGAAGTTACTAGAGTCTTTGTATAAATGGACAGGGTTTCAAGAATTAGCACCATTCCATGCATAGAATCCCCATGCATATGAATACTATAATTAAACTTCCAACTGACTAGTATTATTAAATATATCAGTGAAATGGACAGATAAAATGAAAACTTCAAATTCAGCCTCTGGAGGGGAAGATAAAGGAGCAAGGAAGAGCAATGTACCAGGGTAGGAATTGATAAAATGAAGATCCTGCTATTTCAAACTGGGTTACATACTGTAGTTTCTCCCTTAAAATTTTCCTCCTCTCCTCGTTCATGGCGCTGAGCTAGTTCCAATGTTGGTGGTCAGGAATATTAGGATTATGCTAGATGATATGTTTTCTCTTCCCACCATTGATAGCAGCAAGTGTGAGAACATGTGACCTTCACTTATTGAACATTTAGCGGTTCCTGTCCCTGGATATTGCACAGTTATTAGGTTAGTTCCTGGTGGGGTCTCCCTACTGCAACTGTCTATATGACTTTGTTGCCTCCTGCTCCTAACCTTGATCTAGAAATTTGCAGTACTCCTTGTTCTGGATTTCCTTCATTTTCACCATGTTTCTTCTCATCACAGGCCTTTACAGGTCCTATTACCACCAGAACCCAATCTGAGTTTATGGTACAAGTGCAGGGGTGTCAAACTCAAGGCCTGCGAGCCAGATTTGCCCCCCGGGCTGCCCTGGAAACAGCGAAAGGCCCAGCCCATGATGTCTCACCAGTGAAAATGGAGCTTGGGAGGGCTGCGTGCGGCCCTCAGCTCTGTTTTCGCTGGCAGAGGGTTGCAGGAGGCCCTCACAACCAAGAACGGGAGCCTGTTTTTGCTGGCAGAGCACTTGGGCCACCAGAGGCAACCCCGACATGAGTAACAATGAGCTGGCCTTGTTCACCCCGCCCCCCTGTGGTCAAACACAACTCTGATGCGGCCCTCAATGAAATAAAGTTTGACACCCCTCTACTAGTGTAAGACCCCTGGTTAGTCATTTCCTACTACCCATCCTAGAAGCTGTTGTCTTGGCACAATCCTATTATGTAACACAATCAATAGGATAACAGCTTCAAAACATTTATTTGTGGCATATACATAGCACTTTTGGAGCTAAAGCATGACTTCTAATAGCCATTGTATCATAAAAAAATTCTAGGATTGTCTGCATATGGCCAAATTATTCAGACCTTTCTGAAAATCTATCAAATGGCATTGTTGGACTGCTCATTCCAGAAAGTTCTCTGCAAATGGGCTCCAACATCCATTATTTTTAAAGGCATTCACTTTCAAATCACTTTCTTTACCCAGTTTGATAAAGTAGGACTGTTTGAGTTTGAATATATATCAGAGGTCACAATTTTCTTCTAATGGCCAAAACATAACTTCTTCCTCTCATATATGGCATGGAGTCTTCCATCAGGTTTCCAACAAGCCTTATAGTTTCCTGATACATAATGGGTGAAAAACAAATGCAAATATCACATTCAGAAATATTGCAACAAGGCTATAAAGAGATGGGAGAGGGTACAGTTCTTTTTGCTTAAGGTACATCATTTAGGAATGATTAAAGGAATCATTCTTGCTGTTTAATATTTAAATGTGCAAAAAAATGAGTGGTGGTACATTACACCCATTTTTCTCTTATAAAGATATTAGCGTTTTTGCTGAACATGATAGGTGTGAATAGAAAGTAGATTGAGATATACTGGTAGATCTTTGGTTAAACTGCCATTGATTGGTAAGGGTTTCTGGTTTCCAATTGCTTAATAACTTCCTCTGCCCTCTACCATAACAGGTTCCTGAGAAAGAATACTTGGAGAAGAAAAAAATGTGGACTAAATATGTGCTCAGAAGCACAATATTATAATATATTTAGTTTAAATCCTCCAGCAATGCTGGATCTCAAGATTTCTCTAAAACAAATCCCAAAAGCTCGAGGTTTGTTCATTTTAAAGTATGTTACAGTTAAAACTGACATGCATTTGTTTAAGTGTTTAGCCCTTAAACAAATGCATGTCAGATATACAAGAAATTTATAATATACATACATCATTTAATAAAACATTTATTATTCTCCTAAGCAAAAAAGAATGCTTTAAGAAAATTATTCTGTTTCATTTTGATTAGATAGGTTTATTTTTTGGAATGTGGATTCTTTTAATTTAGATTCATAGGTCAGGCTTTCTTCTTCCTTAACTGTATGAATTTTTAAGAATATTAAGGAAAAAAGAAGAATATGAATCATCAGGAAGAAATAATTGAATCACTCTACCAGTTTCTCACTTCTTTAACTGAAGTTACAATTGAAATTTAAATTCACTGTAATATCCGTTCTAATTTTAAATGCACTTTATACATAAACAATGGAGATAATGATCTTTATCAATTATTCCAAATTAAATTAGGGCATCAATATTTGCTGAGAATACATGTAAACATTTCAATAGTTTGCAAAGTGGTTGCAAAAACTTTTAAATGCAATTATTTGCTGCTCTTGGTTGACACCGAGCTATTACTTTTCAAATTTTTAAAATAGTATATTCTTAATCTCATGCCCCTACTAGACATCGAAAATCTTTACCTCTTTCTTTTTTGTATTAATGGTATGTTATGTAAAAAAAAACCTGCTGGGTACAAGAATCTATCTGCCCAGACTGTGTTGGGGTTGTTGTTTTTTTGCATTGAAATACGGATCCATTATTTATTACAATCTGGGAATTTAATAAAAATGAATCTACAGCAAGAACAAGGTGCAAAGGTGGAATATTTGACACTTTCTGTTAAACAGATAAAAACAGAAGGCAACAACTATTATTATTAGAATAAAAATAAATCAAGAAGAAAAAAGATTACAGAGAAATGCAATAATAATAATAATAAACTGATTTGTGCACCAGTTTTGCTAACCCATAGTAATAAATATGTATCACTACACTACATGAGAACAAATTAATTCCCTTTAATGTCCACTATTTAGCAGCTGTTGAATGTTCAGGGATGCAAAAGGCACACCTTTATCCTTCTATTATGTACAAAAGTGTTTGCTTAACGCCCAAAATAATCTGCATAGTAATAACTGTTTTTCTTCTATTATTTACAGAAGGAAGGAAGGAAGGAAGGAAGGAAGGAAGGAAGGAAGGAAGGAAGGAAGGAAGGAAGGAAGGAAGGACGGACGGACAGACTTAGTGCAATAAAAAATTAAAAATGGTAGATTGTGAGTTAGTTTCAGGGCTTCTAGCATACTTCTACATTTTGTTGAACTGGTCAGCACTACATTTTAGGTCTCCAGCCATTAATAAATTGCAATATTTTTTTAACTTGCAGTTTGCTGAGTTTAAAATCCTCAGAAAGGATCTCTTCATTGAGCTGGACAAGCAAGTTGCCATCAATTTTTTCAGTAACAAAAAGTGTTATGACATCCTCCGACAAGCCTATAAATCGTAGAGACTTAGATACTTCCTCAATGGAAAGCCCAGACAGATCTACAGGTGGCTGCCATGGTGAACCGTCACCACAAGATCTCGGCGCTAGCTGAAGATGAAGGGGTGACGAGAAAGAATAAGAAACCGAGAAGAGGTCTTGCATGCTTTTTTTATCCAGATACTGGTCTTCAGAAAGGTCTGGAGAGCTCCTGTGAGGATCTTCCTCAGCACCATCTATTCTGAGAGACCCAGGACAGAAGTCAAGCCCTGGTTTCTCCTCCACCATCTTTGGTGCACGAGGGGGTAAGGCAGGGCAAGAAAGTGACTGCAAGGTGCCACTTATTGCCAAACATTTTTCATCGGTATATTCAAGTGAGTAACTTGCTGACTTTGGGCAACTGGGCATAGTGCATTCTGCCTCAATTGTAGCTGGTGGTACATCTCCTGCAGAGACTTCATTTCTGTCAAAATCGAATGTAAAAGGTGCTGGACAGCTTCTCTTTGGTGTGTTGGGAGTCTTCTGCCTTGGATAGCTGTAACTTCTGCTTGGATCCAACAGAAACTCACTCCTAGAAAGGCCTTCAGCAGCTCCAGAAAAATGATTTGGCCATGAGAGTCTGGAGAACAAACCATCAGCAGAAGGGCTTCCCAAAGGCAATTTGTTGTCAAGCTCTTGCAGGTCACTTTTCACTATACCACATGGATAACAAGTTACGGGAGTAATCTCGGAAGAGTTTTCAGCATCTTCTTTAGTGGTGCTGCTTTGAAATAATTAAAAAGAAGAGACAGAATTAGTATATAGCTTTTGTAGTTAGTAGTTGTCACTTTTACAATTCTGTTATTTTATATACAAAATAGCACAGGACTAATGGAAAACAGTGCTTCCATTATATAGACATTTTCCCAGACGTGACAAATTTAACAAGTTTTCCCAGCAAAGTCGCCAACTTTTCTGGCAAGTATTTCCCTTTAATTAGTAAGGTTGAATACAGTGGGCAAATATTTATATCAAATATGCAATCCATTTTATAGAAAATGTAATCGTCATCCATACTCAAATCCACTAGAAGTGCATAGTTTTTGCAATCTACTAACTATACCCTCTGGAGTTATAATTGCATCTATTTCTATGTAAGTGAAAATCTATATTTGCATAGATAGCTTACATTACAGTTCCACATGCCAATAAAACTGTTAAGGTCCATGGCACTACGTATTATGATTATGGTTTTTTGCACAGTCAGACAGATGTTCAGACTAGATTTGGCATTATTATGTGGTTAATCTTTGGTGAGATTCACAGCCTTTGGGGCTGGTTGGTAGCTCAACAGCTCGAGTCCTAACCAAGGGCCTAGGAACTGTTAAGGTAACATCGGAGATTATAAGCTGTTCCAAGTAGGGTTATTATATTAATAATAAAAATATTATATTAATAATAAA